TAAAATGGTAGACGTTGGTTATATGGGCTCCTGCTTTTTTGTTTAATTTCTCAGCAGTGTGACTATAAATGGGAATAGCAGGACGGCATGTAGTATGTGTTTACAGGACTGTCAGTGGATGGTGGATGATAAGATGTGTTTGTACAGGTCCTGACCCCCCACATGGCTACAGTGACAGCTCGGATATGGTGAAGACCATACTCCAAACAGTCCAGAACCAGGACAGAGTGCTGAAAGACTTGTACACTCACCTTAGGTAATTTATCCACTAATCTAACCATGCAAAGTTCAGCAAAACTGAGGTATCAATTTATAAATTCTTGTGTTGTTCTTTTTTTAAAAATCCTTTTCCTGTAGTACAATTCTGGTGTGTAAGCGGCGCATCGTTGATTTGTTCCCTAAGTTGGAGAGGGCGGTAGAGAACATAAAAACTGCAGAGGCAGCAGTCATGCAGATGCAAATGAAGAGACAGAAAGAGTTCTGGTACCTCCTCAAGATTGCCTGTGTGAGTACACAACAAATGACTACAGAAATAGGAGCGTCGAGCTCTGTAATACAGTATTAAATGTATTATTCAAATAGTAGTGTAGCTAATACATTGTGTGGTTGTGTATTTAGGCCCAGAGCAATTCTCCGTCACAGTCACTTATGCAACGACCCACTGACAGGTAAGATCTGTACAAGTCACAGTTCTCTGCTGTTAGTTTCATAGAGCTAAGTGTGTATTACAAATGTGTATGAAAAACACTGTTAAATACATTATTAGCCCCGTGTAGGCTGCTGGGTTTTGTATATATTACAAAGCTGCCACAAGAGGTCACCCCATGCACCTCAAGTCAAGTAACTTGTAGAAGCAGGACTCATAATCTCCTCAGTTACTAATGACTTGAAGACAATAATATGGAACCCCAGAGTCTTTAAAGAAAACATATTGTTTTGTTTTGTGCACAATCCCAACATTCATTGGGTGATAGGTTGGGTACAAACTCTCACAAGGTCACAAGAGTCTTTTGTCTCTTTTAGTGAAACGGTTCATCAATTACTGGATGAGAATCAGCGATATCTGAGTCAGCTAACTTCTCTGTTGCAAGACGCCACCCAGGAGATGGAGCACAGTGTCATGGTAAGGTATACGGGTGTGAGGGAGTGTGTTCATGCATGAACAATAGTAAATATGATTGATTATTGTAAATATGAATCACCACCACATACAGACGGGTGACAAATTAAAGGAAACACCTCAATAAGTGAGTGTAGAAACAAAACAAATGCAGAGGTTTACACTTAAGCGGTTAACATCCAATCATGCTGAAATACTGAGCAGGGCCAGTAGATGCAGATTTTGTCAGAGGGATATTATAGTTAGACTGCAGTGCATACAACCCTCATAACAAAGATAAATGCAGATTCGAGAGTTCAGTAGTGCAAAAAAAACCACTGGCTCTGGTCCACAGAGATGTGATCAGTTGAGACATCCTTCACCATATTCTCAAGTGCATGTGAGAACGATACAGGTCAAAATGCTTGACCTCTGCAGCGAGGAGATCTGATGGCTCTGTCAGGCTGTGGGGGACATTTTGTTGACACGGTTCCACTTGTCCCCTTAGAGGGAAGTGTCACTGCAAATCAATACAAAGCTGATCTGAGTGATCACCTTTAACCTATGATTAAACAAGTCTATTTATGTGTTCGCTGTGTGTATGTAGTTTATTGTGTATACACATTTGTCTTTACTAGACTGCATGTTTATGGCCAAGGTTCAAGATTTATGATGGGAGAATATCATGAAAATGTTCAGTAGATAGTGAATGGAGAGCAGTGTTAACATTTCTGTTCTCTCACCAGGAGCAGGACTGGAGCTGGACTCAGTACGGAGCAGTGAAAGCTCATCCTCAGAATCTGTAGAAACTGACCAAAGACTCGGTGTTACGAGTCAAAGATTTATACTGTAAACAGGTGCCTTATCAGAGTTACACTATCTGAAAGCTTTGTGATTCCATACTGTGTCATATACATATACTGTAATGCTGTAAGACAGTGTGTGTGAAACAGCCTGATGTGGTAAGCTATTCGTGTTTTAACTTAAATGTATATTATTGAGTTTTAAAAAGCCAACTTCCATCTGTAACCACCACTTATTTATTTTACTTTTAGTATTGATTAGAGTTAAACATTGCTGCTGAGAAACTATGCATGATGGAATGTGAATACTTTTTATAAACGTATGGCACATGGACCGTGTTTTGTCTTCATTCGAGCGGTTTAACTGAATTTTCTTATCGCTTTGTCTGTGGAAAATAAATTTCTGGTTGTTTATATTCACTCAGTGGACCAGAGATATACAGGAAATTATAAGACCCTGGGTTCACTTTGGAGTGGATATGACCAACATTCATATAAGTAAATACTAGAAAAATGAAGTCTCACTGTATGAGTTCAACAGAATATTTATTTATCTTTTGATTATTAACTTAAGCAGGAAGTAACCTACCGTGTATGAAAGATTTCTTTGTAATCAATATCCACCTATTGCTTTACTCATACTGACCTCCATCATTAAGTCCTGTTATAGTTTGTTAAGGTGTAGTTTTACATTGTCTGGGCAAAGATTTCACATTTTAATCAATATATTAGTAAGTAGACACTGGAATAATAATAATACGCTACAATACTTTAATGAGTGTTAATCAGCCTGATAGTAAGTGTAGCATACTGTATTTAATTTGAGAAAGGTTCCTGGTACTTTTCTTTTTCAGTGTCAATTTTGTTTTAAACTTAATAATTTCATTCAGTTACATTTCACACAATTTTAAAAAATAAAAAAATACACGAGGCTAGTAACATATAAGTTTCAACAGTGGTCATATTAGTAGCAGCAGTGGGTTTATTTAGTTTATGTATCAGTACTTAAATATGTTAGATATTTGTTCCACTTATGTTGTTATGCAGCTGTTTAACAGTGCTGAGCAGTCATGAAATATTCTCTGTAACTTTTGTTATTGTGTTTATTTTCATCTTATTTACAATAAGAAATTAAATACAGCAGCGTAAACGATAACACACACACACACACACACACACACACACAGAGAGAGAGAGGGGCATGCATACATAACACACTCATGAAACAGTCAGACAGTAAAACAGCCTGTGCAGTTGCAGGAAGCTACCTAAGAAAGACCCCTCCTCGCCTAGGCTGAAATTACCATTGACTTTTACTATCAGTGAGGACACCATGTGGGACTGTGTGCACTGTTTTTGGACTCATTTGCTCAATAAAACCTTCAATAAAGTGTAAATTTTCTTTGTCAAAGTTGTCTTAAGAACTTAAGACTATGTAAAACTGAGCTGGAGCGCTATATATACTGTAAATATGCTGTTAATATACTGTAAATATATATACACACTGTCGTTAATGTTGGACGAAGACATGAGGAAAACATCTGAAGCCTGTGATTGGCTGATTCCGGCCAATAGCAACGTGGTGAATTAACATAATACCACTCAGCATCATGGGAAAACTACTAGTCGATAGCTTTCGGTTTAAATAACACTAATTCGCGTTATCGACAGAAACATCATTTAGCTGATAAACATTATAGACGAACTAGAAATTATAGATATTACAATTTGATACATTTTCTTTTAAGTTATCACCATGACAGAGACGTCGCGCTGCAGTCAGCCGTATATAATGGAGGCTCCTCCTCATACTGTGTGGATGTGAGGGCGATCTGGCTGCGACATCTGTCACCCCATTGATCGCTAGGGTTGATTCGGCTGATCTGGCTGGCTAGGCGGGTGTCCCCTTCCTCCCTCACCGCTCCATGTGTGTCCCTCCCGAAGCCCCGCGCTCGGTGGAAGAGGACGAGGTCCCCCCCGGCGGACGACCATCCATCGGTGCACCAGTAGCTGCGCTCCCCTGCTAGAACCTCCAAACAAGCTCAAGGCCCATTTGTAGGAGAAACGTAGGGAAGTTAAGCTCCAAGCGTCAGACACATCCAAATGCGGCGCTGCACGTGGCAGTCTGCCTTCCTTTTTACGTTATCAATTAAAATGTTATATGTATGTGTAGATTAGAATTAAATTTACTATATATATAAAGACAATATTTAATTATAAAAAAATAATCATACAGAACAATATTATTTTTAAAATGTATTTGCACATGCACTATATATAAATAAAAACTGATTTAATAATATAGAAATATAAAATAGTATATAATATATAGAAATGTATTTTGTGTTTTATTTATTTGCACTATATATAAATAAAGACAATATAATTATAAAATAATGACATACACTTTTTTATTTGCACAAGCACTATATATAAATAAAAACTATGATTTCCTAACATAGAAATATAAAATAGTATAGAAATGTATTTTATGTTTTATTTATTTGCACATGCACTATATATATAAATAAAGACAATATTTAATAATACAATAATAATAGTATTTTTTTATTTGCACAAGCACTATATATAAATAAAGACAATATAATTTAAAGAAATTTAAGTATAATCAAACTTTAAAAAGAGAAAAACAAAGATTGTGTAGTACAACATTAAAATACAATATTGATAGAAATTTACAATAATTTTACCAGATTAAATAAATTATATTGAGATCCATAAAGTGTTGTGACTGTCTACTAATTAGAGACTTTATCAGATAATGTTTTAAATACAGATAAGGTAGATATTGATTATAGTGGTCCTCTGTATTTCACTGAATATTGATTAAGGGAATTCCGACGATACGGAAGATGAAAGTCTTTATCAATAATGAATATTTTTTTTGTATCAAAAAAAAACAAAAAACACGTGTCGTATGTCACAAAAACAAAATAAACGCACATCCCCAAATTAATGCCACAACAAGCGTCCGATTCCCGACCGTCCCTGAAGGCAGCATAATGTAACGAGCGAGAGGGAGGAGGAGGAGGAGGCTGAGGGGGGAGGAGGCGGTTGAGGGGGGAGGAGGAGGAGGAGGCGGCTGAGGGGGGGATGGGTCGTTGAATGATAAAAAAGCAGAAGGCAGGACTGTTCGATACAGTGGTAATTGTATTTATCATAAACAGCCCGTTTACATATTGATAATATTGATCTCAGCGCAGCGCCAGGTGAGTTACCTCGTTTTCATTTGCGCTCAGCTAGTTGCCTAGCAATGTAATGTTAGCATTGAAGCTACGAGACACCGACGGAGCGGCTCACTTCCCGAAACCAAAGCTAGTTAGCCAGCTAACGCGGCTACCAGGGGGAAACGGTGTGTCAGCCTTTGCTGTTGCCGAAGTGAATTAATTCAGACGTTCAGTGTGGTCGTTATATTAAAAGAAAGAGAGAGAGAGAGAGAGAGAGAGAGAGAGAGAGGAGAGAGCTGTGGTATAAACGCGTTGCTTCATGTGTTCACAGAGGAATTAACGTGCTAGTAGTTGTCTCCATGCGAGCTAATCGTCGTCCACATTCCTGGCTAACATTGACTTTACTTGTGCACTTTTTTTTAATAGTAGCAGCGAAGTATAGCGCACTGCTCGGTGTCCTGTTTATTACTGCTTTACATACGAACTGTTAAAGCACTTTAGTGGCAGGACTCGTTGTAACTTGCTGTATGTACGTGTTGAAGTGATCTAACGAATATCTGTGGGTTGCGTTCAGTTCACGTTTTTTGACCTGGGTGCACCTGTGTTAAAGTCAGGATACATTACATTTACTAAAGATATCTGACACAGCCCGCCTACGTTTGGCAAGCTGTGTAACGTTTCATTTATACTTTATGAGCTATTAGTTTTTAATCCAGCCCAGAGAAAGAGAGAACAAACTATATCGGAGCATTTACTAAACCTTGTTTGGTTAACAAATCTGCAGTAAAGAGCTTTCCTCTGTAATATCAGCAAACTTTGTCAACCAGTGTGCAGTGCAAGTTGTTTTGAAATGAGTGTTGTTCCCCCTTTTATGGCTTTTTGGATTATTGAGAAGTGTATATATAATGTTTTATAAACTTCTGTCTACTCCGTTTGAGTGTGTTCACAATATTAAAAACAACTCTCAGTGTAAAGCAATTCAGTTCAACAACACCACAAATTGCAGCCTCCAAAACCACGAAGTTGAATCAACACTTCACTAGAATAGTTTCAACAAATCCAAACATTAAAACCTTCACGAAGGTTGGATTTGTTGTATAAGACTGCATTACTTTAGTTAGGTTTACCTAACAAACTGGTAACCGACTGAATGTACTGCTGCTGACAATTACAGTGAAGGTCTGGCAATAGTGTAGAGTAAATAATGTTGTATAAATATTGCAGAATGTTTATGCTTTTCTCTGCCTGTAGGTGAGTTTGTGGGGATGACGATGCCACATGTGGGGGCAGTGTTCGCTGCAATAGCAGGAGTGATGGCCATCCTGTTGCACTCCTCCATTCACAAGATAGAGGAGGGACACCTTGCTGTATACTACAGGTATCACAACCCTGACCCTTAACATCTGTGTCTGATGGAAATAACACATATATGCTACGAGTATGGATGGTATATTCTTATTTCTAAAAGCCCTGTGTCCTGAGAATGATGCATATAAATTTGGTGTGGATGTGGAAGTATATCTGGGGATACTGAGGCATGCATACAGCAAACCTGTTTCACCAAAAAGAGAAAAATGAGATCTGCGCATGGTCTTATGTGTGTTTACAACAGTTTACAACAGTGGTTTAAGATTTTAGACTTTACTGGCCCCCACTGGGAAGTTGCTAATTAAAGGTCCAGTGTTTAGGATTTAGTGGGATCTAGTGGTGTAGTTGCAAAGGAGAAACTATTGTGGGTTAAAAACACAAACAGATAGTGTTTGGTTTGTCCCCTCTGGGCTACTGTAGAAACATGGTGGCCACCAAGGAAGGTGACCTGCGGTGCCTCTAGATATAAAAGGCTCATTCTAACAAAAACACAACAAATCTTTAATTTAATGTGAATATACACCACTAAAAACATACCTATTAACGTTGGTTTATTCTATTTATTTCAATAGATTGTTACGCTTTGGAAGTTCACAATTACGGTGTGTGTGTGTGTGTGTGTGTGTGTGTGTGTGTGTGTGTGTGTGTGCTATATATAATAACTGCTAACTGTTATACTTGAATAAACACCATTTCCTTTTCTTTTGTCCACCCACTTTATTTGCCTATAAAGATAACCTGCTGCTGAGAAGTCAAACCAAATAATTTGTTTGTATTTATTTCAGGGGTGGGGCACTGTTGACTACTCCAAATGGTCCTGGATATCACATCATGCTGCCTTTCATTACCACCTACAGATCAGTGCAGGTAAAACTACCTTTCAGCCAACAGCTGCAACCCAACTAAGCTGAGTAACGTTCTCTGGCGCTGGCCGCCTTGCAATACCTGCCAACAAAGTAACCTGTAAAACCGGAAGCCAGCCAGATTAGAGCCGGGAAGCTAGCTGGTGGTATTTTTCTACGTTAGCTTGCAAGCAAATTATCCATGTTAACAAGCTGAAACAGTAGCTTTTAACAGTATCACAGTATGTTCCACAAACTTTACAGTGTTGTTGTAGGTGCAGACTCCATTCATAAAGCATTAGCTGTGGCACACTGTTGACATTGTAGTGAAGTGGAGAAAGAAGGCACGCAGGAGCGCGTAGAAACGTCACATCCTTTTGAAATTTTGTAAAAAGTTCCAGCCTCCATTCCTGCATGGAAACGCATAAATTAATTCATAGGCAAAGAGAAAGGTGTCATTTTTTTTAAAGTTACGTTACAACCTGTTCATTTATTGGCAATAAAAAGTGATTAATACATAAAAATAATACGCAAAAAGGTTCAGAATCATACATACAGTGTTTGCATGAAAGATAAACATTCATAACTACGAACAGCAAATAATTTATTGAAACTTGTGGAAGCCACAGCCTGTATATCAGATTGAACATCAACAGTAAAGTTTAAAAAAAATTATAATCTTATCTCAAAGCCTACTTATTATCTTTTTCTCTGCTTTCAGCTACCTCAACTCGTGAACTTACTGAAGACAGAACTTCATTTTAATTAAGATTATTCTGTACTATTTTCAAGGTCGATAATGAACTTTCACAATAAAATGATAATATGTGATATATTATGCATCTTGTATTTATTATCGACACAGGTTCACCTCAAACAAGCGTGCACTACTTTATCTAGTCTTGCATACTTTTATAAACTAGGAACATACAACTTGTAAAATTATCTCATCACATGTTAAATCCAGATAAATGTTCATGAAAGGATCCACGTGGTAGGAAAATGGATGATAATTGTTAGATCATGTTTTGAATTTTTGTGTTTCAGACCACACTTCAAACAGATGAGATAAAGAATGTGCCTTGTGGAACAAGGTAAGACTCAGCTTATTGATGTAGCTGTTAAGTTATTGATCCATTTATTAAAATTATTATGTATTTAACTTTTTTCTTTCTTTTCTTCACAGTGGTGGTGTGATGATCTATTTCGACAGGATAGAAGTCGTTAACATGCTGGTACCCTTAGCAGGTATGTACGAACTGTTCTCTACTTTGTTGCAAAAGTTCCTTATTTGGTGGAGTCATGAAGGCCAGCGTCTTTGCATAACTGTTGTTTTTCTTAATTTATTTGCAGTGTTGGACATTGTGAGGAACTACACTGCTGATTATGACAAAACTCTAATTTTCAACAAGATTCACCATGAACTCAACCAGTTCTGCAGTGTACACACGCTACAGGAGGTCTATATTGAGTTGTTCGGTGAGTACACTCTTCTAATGAAACAGATAGCATTGTGTCATTTTACTGCAATACAGGTAACACAAGTCGAGCTGTGTGTTAACTCCTGAAATTCCGAAAATGTAATACACAGCTGTTGTGCTGTTTGTTGTCTTGCAGACATTATAGATGAGAACTTGAAGACTGCATTGCAGAAAGATCTGAATGCTATGGCACCCGGACTTACAATACAGGTATTTAAACACATGCACAAGAAACCTGAGCAGTAGAGGGGCATAGAAAGTAGGAAGACTGGGATTCAAGTCACAGTTTGCAATATACCAGTGGTTACAAAATTAAATAAGGCATGTTTGCAGAAGCTGGATTTGTATTTATAACATAGCTACAGAGCATAAGGCTCAGGCTGCTTCTGTTTTCTCCTACACGTTTCTGATGCTGGTGGAGATTATTGAGAAAGAGAAACATGAAAACCCTAACTAATCAGTCATCTGCTTGGTTTAAGATTTATTGGCAGATTGATTGTAAGGAAAGCATCATCTCTTTTCTGTTCTTTTTTTCCTTCTTCCTCTGCACTGTTTCAAAATCCTGATGAAGGCAGTCCGAGTTACCAAGCCAAAGATCCCAGAGTCTATCCGGAGGAACTTTGAACTCATGTGAGTTTGTAAATCTGTACTTACTAATGCAGTCTTGTTGCATATTTCAAATTCTCTCCTGCTACCAACCCACTCAGTTCAAGTTAGACCACACGGAAAGAAAAACTGTGTGTGTGTGTGTGTGCGTGTGCGTGCGCAGGGAAGCGGAGAAGACTCGTCTGATGATAACAGTTCAGACACAGAAGGTTGTGGAAAAGGAAGCAGAGACTGAAAGGAAGAAGGCCATTATTGGTAAATGTGATGGTGTTTTACTGTTAGTCTGTTAGGTGTAAATTTGCATGCACAATTTTTAGCACTTTCCCCTTTTCAGTCACTCATGCGTAACCCAACTATCAACCCCCCACCGTCTGTACAGTTGTTAAGGCTCACGTTTTTCCGTCTTGCAGAGGCTCAGAAATTGGCCCAGGTTGCTGAGATCCACTTCCAACAGAAGGTGATGGAGAAGGAGACGGAGAAGAGGATTTCTGAAATAGAGGGTTCGCCTCATTGCTTTCAGTTCTCTTCTATAAGATGAATTTGTGTGCCGTGGTGTCTGGTGAGCTGGTCTGTCATGTGTCTTGTCTCATTCAACACTGTCTCTTTGTTTCAGATGGTGCCTTCTTAGCGAGGCAGAAGGCTAAGGCTGATGCAGAATATTACACAGCTTCCAAGATAGCTGAAGCAAACAGGGTAAAGAATGGTTTTCATACATAAACACACATACAACATCTATCTAATGGCCTTAGAATATCATGATATTGCGAGGTATAAATTATAATAATAAATATAATACTGATAATAGAATTGTAACAATATCATTTCAGCTGGTGTGGTCAGATTTATACAGTCAGCCCATGTTTGTGGTGGATTCACTGGATTTGCTTTTTGGCAGAGGCTCTCTGCTCCTCTTTCGAAATAACGGAGTCATTATTGATCTGATCAATGCCGAACTTTAACATTAAATAGATGCAGATCACATTGGGTAAGACGTGTTTAGCTGGTGATTATCAAACTAACAGCGTGTTTTTTGTTTTTGGAACCAAATCCTCCAAAGCCAGTATACATGCTGTATATGGTCACATCAAGATCCACACTAGTATTGTCATTAAGAATGATAATGATCTAGCCATAATCCAATCCTCACATGCTGTTGTCTCTACCCTCAATCTTTGCAGTTGAAGTTAACCCCGGAGTACCTGGAGCTGATGAAGTACCAGGCCATAGCAGCTAACAGTAAGATCTACTTTGGCCAGGAAATCCCTAACATGTTTGTTGAGGGAAACAACAGCCCCCCTAAGTCTGGACGCTCCAATGCTCAACCAGACTTGCTTAAAGAGAAGCTAGATGGGTAGTGAGTCCACAGCTCTGCCTCTGCACAGGACGGGAGAACCTGATGATTTGTCTTGTGAGGTGGAGAGCACTAAACTGAAGATGATGGGTGGGATAGCTTTGCAGCTAGTGTGAACAACACACTTCAGTCTTAAATCTAAATGGCAAAGAAAGAGTGAGAATTTAAGGACACACAGAAGTGAGAGCTAGGAAAGGCAAGCTAAAAGGGAAAGATTTTTTTTACCTTCCACTCTTTGGAAAAAGACAAGTTTTAGGAATGAGAATGATGCCATAGTTTAAAATCAAAAGCATAATAAGTGCTTATGCCTGGGGAAGGCGACAGCAAGTAGTCGCCCTAATTTACATGTGCTTGCAACCAGTGCAGTGTTTAACTTTGCTGTTGGATCTGCATTCATTTTGTTTGTTTGTATGCAAGAGGAGTGATTTTGTGATGAAAATGTATAGGATTTTTGACAATTAATTTCTAGTTTGAATTAACTGGAATCTTGACAGGTGACACTAATTAAAAGCAGGATGGTTTGTGTAAGTGTGTTATGCGGGTAGGTCATCTCTATGCCATCTTCTCTTACACTAAATCACTAGTTGGCTCTTCTCTCTCTCAACACGAGTCAGTGTGAGGGCTGTTTAATCTCACCTTACAGTATCAAATGCTGCATAGTTATGGCAGGTTATTTGCTGTAGTTAGAGCATTATACATGTTATTATATCAGCAGAAGAATGGAGCCCACTTACATTTCCCATTGGCTGAAATCATACAGTAGAGCCCGACCAATATATCAGCCTGTTGTGTCCTATTAGTGTATATGTTAGCCTATATGCACCATTGGTTGAACATGTATATGTTAAATTATTATTATTTTAAAGAATATTAACGTAAATATTCTTTAATAAAGTTATTTGTTGAAGAAAGCAGGCTCCTGATTACCTTTGCATAGTCATATTGGTGTAAAATCCGCATAGAAAAGAGCTAATAAAAAGTCGCTATATGAGCCGCCATATCGGTAATCAGTGAAATTCAACCCCTCTAAAGTTGGTATGGGCCTCAAAAATCCTGTATCAGTCGGGCTCTGTCCTACAGACATGAAAACGAGTGGTGAAATTTATTTAAAATGTTAATGTTCGAGAAACGAGTGGCCTGACTTCGTTAAATTTTCACCTGAGCCTGCAGAAAGTTAGGTATTACTCTACAGATACTCAAGTCTTTGAGGTTGGAGGGCTGTCATCATGTGTTCACAGTTTCTATAGTTAATATAAAGTGGTGTCAGATTGGTAGTCATGTAGTTTATCCTCCGCTAGCTTGGTGATAGTTTGCTGTTAGTAGTTGTGGTTGAGAGAGCACCCACCACAGAAAGACTTGAGACGCTGCACCAAAACCTACTGTGGCACTTACTGTAAAGCCAACTGAGAAAAATCTGACTTTCAAAAAGATAATCTAAGAACTAATTAATATGTGAGCGAAACAATAAAACTGTTGAATAATAGTGCCACTGGAGGAAGTCATGATTTGTTTTTTCTTGTCAAGAAGTCCGCACATGTTTCTTTCTTCCATCTGGTTTTTATTATCAGGGCTGTGCATGTGGAAATTTGTAGTGGCTTGATTCAGATGATTAGTAGTGCCTGCAATTGTCTGCCAACTCTGTTATACAGCTTATTTAGATGTGGTTGGAATGTAAATTCTCAGGAAACTGACTTTTATTTTAGTAAAACGGCTGCTCGATGTTGAACAGAGCTTACACTCTTCAAAAGTCAAAAATTGACAGTTGTGCCAGAAAATAAATTTACATATATGCTGCATGTTAAAATAAAATCTGTTAAATGAATCTGGGGACACACAAGTATGAACAGTGAAGTGGTGAAACAAGAAAATAACTATTTGATTTGAGGATAAGCAAAGCTATGATTTAGTTTCAAATGAAAGTCCAAAACACCACCACTAGAATCTACATTTGTGTCTTCTGCAAACATTTAAAGTGACATTTTTATTGCACCATCTATTTACAGTAGGTGTGTGTGACATTGAATATTAAGAGGACGTTGGTTTGTCAAAGTAGAAATAATATAAACAAAAGCTCCTTTCCTCTGTCAGTGTTAACATTTCTCTGTAATTCAAGAACTGCAATGTTTTTTTTAATCTTTGCTAAACAAGATAATAAGGATTTTAATGGCAACGCGCAACTTCTAATTACAACATTAACCTACAAGACATGAATTTCAGTACTGCACAAACACATGCTTTGTTTTCTTTAAAGATGAATGTTAATGGGCTTCAATAAGATGCAAGTTGGTGCTAGTTTTTATTGTGTTTAAGCTTTGGATTTTGTTCAGCTCTGTTTGAGAAACATGGAAATACTTCCACCATTCAGAATTCAAGCCTTAATAATAACATTGGGTTATCCCAGACTTAAAGATTCAGTGATTCTTACGAACTAAAAAAAAGCTCCTTTTGAACTTAACTGTGAGACCTCTTTAGAGCTCGGATGTACAGGCTGTCCTCTGCGGCCTCCTTCGTAGACTAACTGAGAAAGACCGAACTAGCAGTGGACACTACTAGTGTTTGGAAGATGTGATGTTTACTTGACCTCTGAATGGCAGTTAGAGCTGTTTGCTTTGGTGGTGGGTTCAAATACAGATGCAAAAGAGAGGTATGAATCACTCATAGAAATGATTTTTTTGGTCAATATTTTGTACAATCTGTGAAATTCAAACATTGTCTCTTTGTTTTAAAAGGTTTATATGCAAAATATGTTTTCAAGTTTTGACAATGTTCTTATGTAAAATTAAAACCTATTTTGGTACCTCTCGCCTCCCTGTGCTGATTTGTGTGTGGACATTATGTAGTACTCTCGAATGCCAACAGGAGGAGAGCTAACACAATGAATGCTCTGGTTCAGCCCGAGCTCCGGCCCCAAAGAGAGTTTTTGCCAAGTGGTGATTAAAAGAAAAATAAGATCAGTTTAACAAAGCAAAAGGGAAGAACAAAGATGGGACTATGGGTTCAAATAAGGGTCAATAAGATAGTGAGCATGGGAAATAATGTTAGAAGAAGAAGCTGTGAAAAAAGTGACAGAAAGGAAAGTCAACTGAGGTTACACAAAGACTGGCAAAAATCATTAACATCGAAGTACAGATTTAAAGAAGAAAACTGTAAGACTCAGAGTTCCCATACGCTTTGGGACACTTTAACTACACGTGCACACTGAAGCTACCTGTTTGAAAAGAAGAGCCTACTACTACAAATGTTTTCTATACATCCACAAACTTAAATGTCGTATGTAGAAGTTTTTCACGGGTTTACAAATGGTTACAGATTTAAAATCTTTCCCTTCACAAGCTCAAATCAAATATTTGAGTGAGTATTCATACGACGTGCATGTGCCGGCTAGTCACTTAATTTGGACGTCTGGGTGGTTGTGGCAACACGAGGATGATTCATTGAACATTTAGTGAATATACATACACAATCCATCACACAGTCCCTGTTGTTCTAACCCATATAATGTGTTGTAAACATTACAAAAAAAGAGAGATGTGTTTGTTGAGTTTGTAAAATGGTCACCCCAAGAGACTGACTCTGAACCTCAAATCCTGCCCCTCAGCAGGGCCAGTCAGCTGTTCACAAAGGCTTTCCAGGAAGCATTCAAAGTGTGCGTGTGAGTGCGTGTGACCACTGCCTGGATGACCACATGAGTGATAGCTTCCTCTTAAGACCTCTCTGTCCTCACAGAGATCTCTGGTATCCTTTCACAGCCAAACTGCCAGTCTTTGCTTTCTGTGGGACGGTGTTTAGTTTTAGTCTGACCCCAGATCTGTTTTTCCTGATGTCAGGATTTGTGAGAAATACGATCATAAAGCATGTTTGTGAGTGTAAATAATCTTCACTCATCCTCATTTTGTTGATTTAACTGAGGAGGGGTTTTTTTTGTGTGTGTGGATGTCTGGTGCTCATTTTAATGGGTGGTCATATTTGGTGTCAGAGCCAGCCAGTTTAAAGCCCCTCCCTCTCAGGAAGTGGGGTCAAGGTCAGGTTTTCTCCTTCCTACATGAGCCAGCGTTTCTCTTTCCTTCCTTTTGTCCCTGATCCTCAGATCCTGCATGATCCTTCTAGCCTTGACTCCTCCCTGGATCTGTCCCTCCCCGGAGATTCAAGGGTGTGGTCCCTCATCTCTCACTGTGGGGCTGTAAATCCAGTCCCTAAACAACAGTATGATACTGATTCATCAGCGGCAGGCAGCGCCATCATCAATAGCGGCTCTGTGTTCTGCAGTTTTTCTCTTACATTCCTAACCTGTGTGTGTGTGCAACACTCACACAGAGAGTATTAGCGTTGGAAGTTGCTCTCAGCACTTCCCCCTTCGGACCTTCACCGGTTATGATCCTCAGGATGGATTTTGTAGTCATCGCTTGAGTCAGCTTTAAAATTTAGACTCTAAATCTAAAGTTCTGAGTTATATATGCTTCGTCCTTCTTGCTTCTCCTTTTGTAAACTGTCTTCAGAAGTAGTACTCAGCCTGTGAAAACACTTGATGTTTTCTGTAGCTCTGAAGGGAGCTTTCTTCTGGGAAACTAACCCTGAGGATGTCATCAGTTCAATTTTGTGGTGAATTCTGCAGTAAAATCTCACTCAACTTTTAACTTTAAGACCTTTCAACTTTGGCCTGTAAATTTGCTTGATACTTGCTTGTGTTGACAGTGAGTCCAAAATGGAGGACGCTTTCATAGCTGATTAGCTGTATGTCACCATCCACTTTTACTGAACCTACCCTATGGGAGTATAAACTGCTGCAGCTATAGTACAACCTAGTCCTACTAACTAGTAGCCCTCATGTCACCACACTTCAAACTTGTTGTGCCAGTGCCAATGTGACCACGCCTTTTTGCTTTCCATATATGACATAAAACCTACATTATAAACTGGGAGTATGGAGTTTGAAGGATGAGGGTGTTTAACAGGCAGAGGAGATTCAATGAAATATGCAATTTAGTTGCATTATGGGAAAAGAATTTCAGTGTTTCAGATATGTCGGTGTCTGTTGCTGCGACTTTGACCGTTCTTTTTAAACATTGTCTCTCGCAAGTCCTGCAGCTTTATGGGACAGAAATACCACATTGCTGTAGTATCCATTCAACACATGTTGAATTCTGATTGTTATGAAATTCAAGAAACTTGATTGTACTTTTATTGTTTACTTTTTTACTCTAATTCTAGAAATCTTGTTCCTGTCAGTTGTGATGTTGTTTGCTTACATGGATGTAGATGTTGAGTTGATTATATATAAATATGTTTCACGTTCTTTCAATAAAGATATATAAATTAATTAATTTAACTCTTTAAAATATATATATATATATATAAGTATATATTGTTTCTCCCAGAACTGCACTCATGTCAGACTGGACAAATCCTTTAAATAGAATATTGCTGTTGGACAATAATGACCTGCTAGTAAACTGGTATACCAGCCTAACCCACATTTACTTACACTGTATAATAGATGCATTACATGCAATGTCTTTATTACTGTAATTATCTACAGTAATAAAGAGTGTGTACAGAGTGTGGCAAAAGTCTAAATGTCTACTTGAAATGATAAAAAGATGTCTATGTATCGACACTAAAAAACCTTAGTGTTTTATTGCTTCATGCTTGAGATTGGTGATCAATTAAGCGGCATGAAGGTGATCAACACAACAGAACTCATTTACAGCTGCAGGTCAGCTACTACTGATACAGCTGAGCAAGATCAAAGTCAGCAACACTTTACTATATTTGGTCATCTGTCGGCTTCACTGTATACTATTTCTGAAACCAACGCATCAAACAGTGGAAAATGCCATCATCAATAGCTGCGTTCTATCTTTGACCACCCTAACCCTTTATCAGGTGAGGAACCGTATATGGTAACTTCTTTGACTTTAATTTCCAAGTTTCAATGAGTGCTTAACACTTAAAGGGAACTAGATTTACACAAGAAACAAATGATGTCAGTGAAAATTGTGGAAGTGACTTTCACAGCGTATGAACCTCACACTGCATGTACATAATTTTGTTTGCAAAATTTGGTTCATTTTATTGCTTCAGATCTCCACTCTGCTTATTTTTCACTCTCTCATGTTTAAAAAGACACTTTGGAAAGTTTGTGACTTGTTGATTTATTGAGCTCTTGGCAGTCAGAATTAATGGGTCGGGTGAAGGCAAAGTAGGTCAAATAAGACTGTAGATACATAAACTCTTTGAATTCTACACACACCTCACAAAAAAGTAAATAAATAGTTAAACGAACAACAGTGGACAGTGTGTTACTTGTACCTACATCAATCTGTTGTTAAAGGTGTTACTAATGTCAATAGGAATTAAATTACGACGGTTGTTTTTTCATCAAAACACATTGTACTCAGAAAAAAGACATTAAGACATCACACATCTGTAATCCCACTGGTACATTTCAACAGGTGTGACACATTTGAGCTGGTAAGACAATAATCTCAGAACTGTCTATGAGTTAATCCTTTGCCTTGACTAATCTTTTTTTATTAATGTAAGAGTGTACTGGAGTTGATGCTACATAGTTGTATCTCGGAGACATATTACGAATGCTCCGTGTGTCCATGTGTGTTACATATTGTTGGTGTTCGTATTTGCATCAGCACGTATTGCCTTTTGCTTTGTACGTCTCCAGGTGCCGCGTCAGATCTTCAATGCGCATATCCTTCAAGTGAACCAGATGCTCTAACCTGCTTACTTTCATCTGTAGGATCTGCACACACACACACACACACACACACACACAAAGTTGTGAAAGGATGTGGTCAAACAATGGGAGGTTTAGTTCTAAAACTGAATTATCTAATTGATAAAAACTTCCTAAGGTGGTAAAAGGCCCTTTCTTAAAATGCACATGTGGCCACAGACGGAAAAGGAAAAAAAGTTACATCCTCTTAGCAGATACTGACTCACTGACCACTGCTGACACAGCTTATGACGCATACGTATCAAACACACACACCTAAAAGTCTCTCTCTACCTCTCTCTCAAACATGCACACACATCTGTAACAATGTTACGGGGGGTTAAACTGTATGACAAAGCTCTTCCTCTACAGGACATCCAAAAAATATATATTTTGTTCTACCAGTCAGCCGAGTGTTTCCCAGATTAAAATGAGTGTGTGTGTGTGTACCTCCACAGTCTCCTGCAAAGCCATGACAGCTTGCTCTTTTTCCTGCAGGATTAGTCGGTAAGTAGGGTCCATGTTTGCGTAAAACTGCGCCGTGTGCTGCGGTTTACTATACAGTTAAATAACAAAAGACACATTATTACAATAAACACTACTGTTGGTTCATTTTATTCACATTAAAAGCAGCATTTGGGTCATACCCGTTTTTTTGTCTGGTCTTTTCATCTTTTTTCATCTCTTCTCCTCCCAGCTGAGCCACGAGTTTCGCTTCAGTCTGACGCATTTCTGAAGACAAGAAGACAAAACTTCCAACTATAATGTGAATGTAACATGATGACTAAAACCCTCTGCTGTTGTTAAAACCTGCAGGGATTCATCCAATAAATCTCATGGACACAATTAGGTAAAGGGAGGACGAGAGGAAGCAGAAAAGGCAATAACTGTACGCAGAAAGGGGGAGAAAACAGGGAGGGAACATTAAAAGGTGGAGACAAAGAAAAATGAGGAGGCCTTTCAGTCCAGCAGTGCTGAGCTCAGGCCAGCGATAAGGGCCATCTGGTGATGTTGGGAGTTGATATGAGGACCTGAGCTGTGTGTCTGATAGTGGATGGGGTGTAGAT